CTTCCCCTGAGTCTCCCGGGCCTCCCTCCAGCGCTTGTGGAGGAAGGGTTTTGGGTTTTTTTGGCCCCGCTCCCCGCCACGCCTCCCCCCGCCCTCCCCCCGCGTCCCGATATTTGTCTTGGGTGATCTGGTCACCCTAGCCAGGGATGAGGGGTTTGGGGTGCAAGAGGGGTTCTGGGTTTTGTGGGGGGCTCAGGGCTGGGGCAGGAACTTACCTCAGGCGGCTCCCGGTCAGCGGCACGGCGGGGGGGCTAAGGCAGGCTTCCCGCCTGTCCTGGCCACGCGGACCAAGCAGGTCTGGCTCCTAGGCGGAGGCGCGCAAGCAGCTCCGTGCGGCTCTCGCCCGCAGGCACTGACCCCCCCAGCTCCCATTGGCCGTGCGGAGCCAGTGCTCAGGGCAGGGGCAGCATGCAGAGCCCTGTGGCCCCGCACCTAGAAGCCAGACCCGCTGCTGGCCGCTTCCAGGGTGCAGCACAGTGTCAGAACAGGTAGGCACTAGCCTGCCTTAGCTGGGCAGCACCACCGACGGGACTTTTAACGTCTCGGTCAGTGGTGCTGACCAGAGCGACCCAGTGCCTTGCAAAACACTGACATAGCCCATAGAACTTCCCAGAAACAATTACTCCTAGTGCTATAGCTGACCAGTGATCTGAGTATGTAGAAACCCCTCCATTTCCACTCCCTGCTGTGCTCACACCAGCACAAGATCACAACAGCCCCCACCGCTCTTTTCTGGGAAGCATTTTGCTTCTGGAGCCCAGGCATGATCAGGATTTTGAGCTCCTCTGGGCTGGGATTTCAGAGCGGTGCAAATTTAATTGATCTCTCTCCTGTGGCAGCAACTTGCTCATCAAGGCAGGGCTGGCCATTCCTGCCAAGGACAGGAGGAATGTTTCACCTTCCCTTCCCCTGGGCGGTTTCCTCCTCAGGAGATGGGACCAGCATATAGAATCCTAGAATATCAGGGTTGGAAGGGACCTCAGGAGGTCATCTAGTCCAACCCCCATGCTCAAAGCAGGACCAATCCCCAGACAAATTTTTGCCCCAGATCCCTAAATGGCCCCCTCAAGGATTGAACTCACAATCCTGAGTTTAACAGGCTAATGCTCAAACCACTGAGCTATCCCTCCCCTCCTTGTGAACCTGACAAGATTTTTTGTACCCTTGTGAATCCTTGTTTCTGTCTCACCCTCTCTGACATGATCTGAAATGATGCTTATGCCAGGAAATGGGTGAAGGGCTTTGACAGACAAACACAAGTGTCTAAAGGGGAAGAGCAAACACCCTGGAAACCTTTAGTGCCCTAGAGCAGAAGTGTCACTGTCAGACTGATACTTACCCTAATTTCCGAATCTTGCACTCTGGGGACTCAAACACCCTGGATAGGTAAGAAAGGCCTACTGTCCGCAGTTTATTCTTCTTGAGTTCAAGACGCAGGAGGGTCCGGTTTTCCGCGAGGGCAGATGCCAGTTCTTCACAGCACTGTTCAGTGAATGCGTTCTTCCCTAGGCTAGAGAGCAGACAGGGAGAGAAGGAGCCAAATGAATGAGAGAGAAAACCAAGAAAAGGTAAAGAGGAGAGAGAGAGAGAAACTGTCAAAGTCAGGAGGAGGAGGAGTGAGAATAAACAGGAGAACAGAACAAAGGGACAAGGAGCTGACAACTCAGAACAGAGGTAGGAAGGAAATGAGAGAGAGACACAATGGGAGAGAGGCCCAGAGAGCAATCAGCCAGGCAGGGGGAGGAGACCCATCAGAACCAATGGCACACAGATGGGGATAGGATACAGAGGCCACATGTGCAGAGAGGGCAGGAGCCCAGGGAAGAATGAGGCTGAATTAGGAGACGGTTACGTTAGCTTTTCGCTTAACACGGGCTCTGCACTGCAGCACTAACAGACTGCTACTGGAAGCCAAAGCGTTTGCATGCTGGGATGTGATTCTGTCTTTGGGACTCTAGCAGAGTGACCTACTGAAATGCAATCATGCGCAGCCCCAGGAGAGTGTAACATTGCACTATAACACACTACAGAGTCAACTCCGCAGTGAGGGAGGAGGGGTGGGGGACAGGCCTGGTGAACTAGGGTCTGAGCTGCATGCAGCCAAGTAGGAGACCCAGGTTTAGTTCTCAAACTCACCCTGTCACTCCCTGGCCCTGCAGGGGGAGCCCTGTGGGAGCAGCACAGCTGGCCCCAGGAGGTGGAGAGGGATAAAGCACAAACCACACTACCGACCTGAGGAGCCAGCCTGGCAGGGAGGAGACCCAGACAGACCTCTGAGCCAGAAGGATCTCAAGGGGGATGGGTTACAGCTGGCAGAGTGAGCGGCCCATTAGTGACCACAAGCGCTCAGGAGGAGCTGGAGTTCACAGGTCCCTGGCCTGGCCACTGCTGGGACATTGGTTCCATGTAACTCCAAGGGAAAAGAGCCATGTACCAAATCGTCACCACAACTTCCTGCACATCCTGGATTTTCCCTGGCCATCCCCCATCCCCCATCCAATTATCAAACAAAACAAAACAAAACAGACAATGGCCCAGGAAAAAATGGCAGAGCCCCAAGCTTATCATTAGGCCTTATCTCCCATCCCCATGGACACAGGCTGCAGGCCCCATGACACTTCAGAACATGAAATACATTTGAAAATGAGCGATACTGAATTACTCATGAGACACGGACCACGCAGTTACCTCAGAGCCTCTAGCCTACAGTTCTGGTGCTTTAGGGCCTTGCAAATATCCTTCATTGTAGGATCCTTCAGATCATTATCCAGGAGACTGGTGGGAAATTAAAGAACAAACCATTTCAGGCTGGATACGGAGACAAATCTGCAAAGGCTGCGGGTTTGGAAAGCTGGATGTGCTATGCAAATTACACAATGGAGGATTTGCAGGTTTGTTCAATATGCATTACCTCATTTACATCAATTCCAGACCCATCAAATCCTTCCACTGCTCGCTCCTCCTCCCTCTCCAATCCATAAATCCTCCCTGCGCTTCACAATCCCCTCTTTGAGCTTCCTCCCTGTCTCCTGGCTCTCTCTGGCACCCCAATGGCATTTCCCCTATTCGCCCCGGTTGGCTCCCCACTCTCCTCTCACTGGCTGCGCTGCCCCCACTCACACTGCGCTGCGCTCAGAGGGGTGACTGCAGCACGTGCTGACGTGATCCAGCTAGCTCAGATAACAGCAGCAGCACGGACTGTGCACAAGTAGCCCACGCTGCTGCGGCTTCACCACTGTTGTCACTTGAGCTAGATCAAAGCTAGCTTGGGCACGTTGACATGGGCTGCAGTCACACCTCTCAGCACAGTGTAGACAGACCCTCGGCGTGCTCTGAAACCTGCGCTGACTCCCACCGCGCCTAGCGCCTCCTCAAGTCCCCCCATCCACATCCAGTGTCCCCCTCCCTGAGCTACCTCTGCCTAAAGCAGGGCCCCCAACACGCCCACAGCAACACCCTACAACACACGGCACAGTGTCATCTAGCCATAGCTCTGTGGCTGCAGGCAAGGTGGGGGCTGTGCTCTGTGCAGGGTCTCTGATTAGAGTCCTCCCACGGTGGGGTCTAACCATAGAGACACAGCCTAGAGTGCCTCCCCACCGCTCTGTGACGTGCCTAATTGGGAGAATGAAGCGGCTGCTCAGGACCAAGGCTCCTGGGAGCCTCCAGGCCAGTTGGTGCGGGGCTGCGATCAGTGCTGCGCCCCTGGGCTGAGCTCTCTGTTCATTCCCGGGGGGCAGCATGATACAGACAGGCTGGGTTCTGCCAGGACTTGCTTTGCTTTGGAGGGCTTTGCTTCAGCCTTCTGCAGACCATCTCCAGCCCAGAGATCCTGAGACAGCTAGGAGAGAATGAAACCAGGTCCAGCCGAACGGCATTGTGCATTTCACCAGCTCCTGCACCTGAGGACACTGATCAGTGAAACCTCCCAGCCACCAACCCTCCCACCACACGCTACCGCAGTGTTGCTATTGTGAGAAGGGGAAACTGAGGCTCAGAGAGGGGAAACGACTTGCCTAGGATCACACAGTGAGTCAGCGGCAGAGCCAGGCAGAAATTTGCGCTTTAACTACAAACCCATCCTTCCTTGCAAGAGCACAGCAGAGGGGGAGCTGCACCTTCACCTTCGCTTGCACCGCAGCTAGCGGGAGGGACTTTTCATCCTGCAGGCTCCCAAAGTGCAAGGTCTGATCCTGCCCTTCCTGCCCACCCAAAGCTCCTGTGAATTCAGTGGAAGCGCTGGGTGCACAAGACAAGCAGAACGGGGTCCCATGGACGCAGACTAGAACTGACATGCAACCTGCTCTGCCGAGATGGGCAGGAGCTACAGCGCACTACAACTCGGTGAGGAAGAGGAATTTGTCTGTCTCAGGACACCAGGGCAAAAGCAACAAGGACACTCAGAAGACTGAAGACTCCAACAGAAGAGACTGGCCCAGATTTAAGGGACAAACCTGTATACTAAGGACTACAATACCCAGTGGGGTGAGAAAAACTGCTTAATCTAGATGTTGCCCAGTCTAATAGGGTTGTAAAGGCTGGTGTATATCCACAGTCCATTGATGAAGTGGTGAACCAATTAATAAGTTTGCACTGCTCGTCTTCAGCACTGCAAGACGGTATATTCCTGAGGTACAAGGCTAGGAGCTGGGGGGATTTGGCTGGTGCCTTTCTCTGTGTGATTCATGTATGGCTCTGGGAGCATTCATGCAATCTAGCTGGGTGTGGGGCTCCACATGGGGTTGTTCTGAGAGATAACAGCACCTGGAGGGGTTTGCTGCTTGTTGCTAGCAAAGCATTGTGAGAAACAGCTCAGGCTGGTGAGTTAGGGGGCACAGCAGTCTCACAGTTCCAGCCTGCACCCCGGGGATCCCATCACACCCTGTTCTTAACCAGAGTGCCTAAGGGCCTTTACTGTCCCCTCAGAGCCTTGGTTGTTAAAGTTTGATTCATAAGAAAAGCCAGACTGGGTCAGAACAAAGGTCCATCTAGCCCAGTTTCCTGTCTTCCGACAGTGGCCAATGCCAGGTGCTTCAGAGGGAATGAACAGAACAGGGAATCATCCAGTGATCCATCCCCTGTCGCCCATTCCCAGCTTCTGGCAAACGGAGGCTAGGGATACTCAGACCATGGTTTTGCATCCCTGCCCATCCTGGCTAATAGCTATTGATGGACCTTGATTCCAAGCACACACATACAGTAACATTCTGGAACTCAGTGTATCTCTTTGGAATGGAAGGACAGCTAAGCGGATCCCCCTGGGATTTGAATCTATGATGCCCCAAGTAATTCAGACCTTATTGTTCACTTTGTCGCCCCAATTCCTCAGCTGTAAAAGCTGAGCTCCCCCAAGAGCAGCACTAACCAGAGCTGCAGGCCACTGTCCTATAGAACCTCCCTGTACTTTGCCAGTTTTAAAGTTACTCTCTGGTAACATCTCGGGGAGGGCGTTTTAATTCCATTTCCTTTCGAATTTTTACAAAAAGCTGCAGCTGCCACCAAAAACCCCAACGATCACAGAGATCGCAGCGGGAAGGACACCAGGGCGTCCTGCTACTTTGCAGGTACAGGAGGTAGTTTGTTTTGTGCACAGCAGGAGCCTGAGGGAGGAGAGCTGCGGGGAGACGTGAATGCTTCCTCCATTGAGCTGGACTCCAACCTGATTCACATTTGGCTCTCCTGGTGGTGGAGCAATTTTATCCCAGGGATGAAGTTCTGGGAAGAGGAAGGAATTCCCAAGAGTGAGGAGGAATTCCTGCCACACCACTGCTCCGGAGGGTAAGTATCAGAGAAACACCTACACTGAACTCTGACATGTTGGATGGAGATCCCTGTCAGGGCAAAGAACTCTTCCAAACTTGTCTTTTTCAGGAAGCTCTCATTCCCACTACGTGATAATAACACAGTAGCTTTTCTGCCCTAAGGATGCCAGGGCATGGGCACGCCTTCTACCAACCCCCCAAAGAGAGAAACTTAATAAAAGCTTAAAAAAATCTAAAAACAAAAACCCTTCTCCAAGCAGAGTTTTGACTCTGAAAATAGAGAAGTGCTGGAGCTTCATGACGTTCAGACTAAGGACTTCACTATTGCTATAGATTTCACGCTGAAGGTGTTCACATACTGTGATGATGGGTGCCAGTATAAAACCCTAAAAACCAGATAGACGATTCTACTTGTGGGTCTGTGGATCACTAGTGATCCATGGAGCCCTTCCTTGGAGGTCTGCAGAATTAAATATTTGGGAAGCAAGCCTTAGGGAGGTGAGATGTTTGGTCCATGAAATGACTTTTCTCTTGCAAAATGGGCCAAAAGTGAAATAGAGGATGACTATAGCATGGGCTTGGATCTTGTATGTTACAGAATGGTGTAATGTCCATATCTGTAACACTCTTGGGAATCACCATCTACCTGACAGCATGGCTGAGGCCACTGACACGTCAAGTCCCTGATATTTTAAACTTTACACATGACCTCTTTTCCTACCTCAGTTCTCTGACTTTGTGCAGCTCAGGTCTGAGTCGCTCCAGGCCCTCGTTCTGGATGAAGCAGGAATCTAGGGTTAGGCGCTGTATTTCTTCACAGCAACTCAACACATAAGCAAGGACTGTGCAATCCACCGGCATGAGGTATAAGTCAGAGAAGTCCATATGGGCAGCTTTACCCACCACATCCTGCACAAGTTGGCTGTTCTGAGATTCAAAAAACAAATTGAATACGTTCATCAGCCTCCTCTTCCCCTCAGGCTCTTCTGGGCTTTGCAGGTCCTCATAGTTCATCTCACTGAGCCATCCAATAACCTTACGAGTTGCCTCTGCAGAGAACTTCCCCACATATTTCTCCAGGGGCATCCTGGTTACAGGATGGGAGAGCCCAGCCAGGAAGCGAGAGAAGATCTCATAGTCACCTTCCTTACAGGACCTGGCTTTAGCCATTGTGTCTCTGAACTTGTCCTCCTTGTAATCTAGGTAATGCACGAGGGCAGCGAAGAACTCCTGGATGGTGAGGTGAAGGAAGGAGTAGGTCACCTGGGAAGAGTCATCAGTTTGAGGGTTCTCCACCAAGAAGCCAGTGAGGAATGGAGAAAACTCAACATTGAAATCCTGTAAATACTTCAGATCAAAGACTAGAATGTGGTTTGTGATGCCGTATTCAGCCAACCATCCGACCCTTATCAATGTATCTCGCATCTTCTGAGGCTCAGGCCGCTCCTGGGTGTGATTGGCCATAATATGGGTGACGTAGCTCACAAAGAGCTGGATCACTGTTTTGGGTGCAGGCTGTGGTTTCCCTGCCTTGGGTGTGAAGCAGGGTTTCAGGGCCGTGCATGTGATCCAGCAGTAAGACGGGTTGTAGCACAGCGTGTACAGAACCTGACTGTCCCTCACATACGCAAAGGCCTCTCTGGAGACTCGCTCATCTCCAAAGAACACGGAAAAGTATCTTTCCCTTTCCTTGGAGAGGAAGCCCACGATACTGGCCACTCTATGGAAGATTCCAGGCTCCAAACTGGTCAGCTTGCTGGGGCGGCTGGTCAGCAGCACAGAACATCCCTTCAGCAGAGTCTGTTTCAGCAGGCTGGCAACAATCACAGTAACTGGCTTCACATCCCCTGGATTCATACACAGCTCATGGGATCCACTTCTGCTTAATTTCAAATCAGTCTTGCTCTCATCCAAGCCATCAAAGATGAAGAGCAACTTCTCAGGGTCTTCCAGGACTCTAGAGAGCTTGTCCCGGAGGTGTGGATATGTTTGACAGATCAGAGATTCTAGGCTCCTCTTCTCAGTAATAGTGTTCAGGTCCCGGAACTTGAAGAAGAAAACAAAGGCAAATTTCTGGTAGTGCTTCCCTGTTGCCCAGTCAAAGATGAATTTCTGCACCAGGGTTGTCTTGCCCACGCCGGCTACTCCGCTCACCATCACAGATAGGGGGACACAGCGGGATCGAAAGCACCAGCGGAAGAGCCGGTCAGGGGCGATGTGCTCCAGCTCACTCTTCATTCTCCTCTGGAGGCGATATTCATTCAGCTCCCCAGCCGCGGCCAGAGCCTCATGCTCCTGGTGTGTCTGCTTCTTGAAGTGACAGTCTGAGACCACCTTCAGCTCCACATAGTGGCTAGAGATGGAGGGAGGCTGAAGTCCCTGTGACTTTCCTGAGCTCCTGTTTTCCTTCATCATCCATGTCAGGTCACAGAGATTATCTTTGTGCTTTTTTTGGCAAACTGGAATGAAGAAATGTGTTGAGACAGACATGGCATGAACCCAGACAGCCCTGTCTCTTACACCCACCCCCAGTCATATTTCTCTCTGTCGTTCCCATGTCAGACCTCCCCCCTTACTGCCCATGACCATGTGCACCTGGAGAGATTCCAAGCAGAAGCCTGATAGAGACACTTTTCTTCTCATTTATATTCTAGCCAGATACCAAGCTGAGGCCTGGACAGATAAGTAACTGTTCTGATCTCACATCTTTGTCTTCCCTCTGCCCTTTCCTCTGCTGAGTCAGATCGTGAATACTTTCTGGTTTACCCTGGAACTTGCACTGAGATCCAACAGGATGGCATCAGGTTTCCTGTTCCAGCTTGTGTGATTCAATGCCAGCAAACCCAGCAACTCTGATAGGTCTAATTTTGACCATAGCTGGTTCCGTGTGCCTATAAAATAAGGATCCCTGGAAGTGCAGCTGCGGTGTAGCTGAAGGAGAGCAGAGAAGCCCTGGCACTCATGCTGAGCTGCCCAATGGATGCCACTGCAGTTCAATACATGCTGAGCCAATTTGAGCCCAGCTGTTCTGCGCTTGCACAAGGGGAAAGGGTGTCAGAAGCCTTCCTACCCCTACACCAGCTGGACACAATTGTAATGGCACAATTCTCCTGCTTCCTCCTCCTGCTGCCTGCACCTTCTGGGACACATGAGACCCCTATAGGGGCTCAGGAGGAGGCAGGGCCATGGCCCTGTTCTGGGTACTCTGGCTAGCAGAGATGGCTGGGTTCACAGTGCGGGTAAGCTGCACGCTCTACAGGAGTATTTCCTCAGACTACTGGGAAGCTGTGCCCCACTGAAGCTGACCCTGAATCAAGCGGTTCTGTCCCAGCCCCAGTACAGATCAGTGCCCATAAGGCATGACTGAGCCCTTTATTGGCATGAACAGGGATGAAATTCCATCACGGTACCTTTCAGTTCGGCATCAAGAGTATGTCCATTTTCATTCAGGAGATTTTCCTTTAACAGATTTTGACCTAGAGAGAGAGAGCGAGAAGGCACAGACTATGCTGTTACGTAACATGGGTTATGGTTACAAATATGGCCTTAATACCATCACATTTCACTGTTCTGGGCTCTTAGTTTTACCTCTTTATTTAACATCAGCAATGCCACACTGAGTTTCCCTTTTATATTTATTACAACTGAATCTTGTTTCCTCTCTACTATGAGAGAGCCTGCAGGTATGCTGGGCTCATCTCCACATGGCTGGTAAAACCAGCTCCCACCCTTGTGCAGACATGAAGCCGTGTCTGAGATCAGGACACAGTCCTCTGTCTCCTGACCATCTATTTCCTGTTCTCTTTTCATGCTCATCACTGCACTGTAGGAGCTGCTCTCTGCCGAGCAATCTCTCTACAGGATCCTTATCCATCCAAAAGGGGTTCCCTCTTCTGCACAGATCCTTCTTTCTCTCTGCGTGTGCCCAGCTCTGGTCACACTTGCTTTTCCCCAGCTCTCTGGTCACTTGTTCATACGATTCCTATGGATTCCCCCCAACATAGCCTTCAGGGAGGCTAGCCCCCAGCCCCACCGCTTCCGCACGAGGGTCCCCCCCGGTGGCTGGAACTCCAAGCCTCCCACCCTCCCACCCCAGCCAGCCAACCCAAGCCCCAGGCCAGCCCCAGCCACGCCAGACAGCTGCCCGAGCCCCTGGCCAGCCCCAGACAGTCCAGCACGAGCAGCCCCAGCCAGCCCTGGGCTGGCCCCAGCCACCCCAGCCCTGGCCTCAGCTACCCTAGCCCTGGGACGGCCTCAGATGGTCCAGTCCGAGCAACCCGAGCCATGCTGGCCAGCCGACCCGAGCACTGGGCCAGCCAACCCCAGCCACCCCGAGCCAGCCCGGGGCAGCCCAAGTCGTGCTGGCCAACTGCCCCAGCCCCGAGCCGGCCTGAACAGCCCTGAGCTGGCCTGGGCCATCCCCAACCACCCCAGCTGTGCCGGACAGAGAATGAGAAATGCAACACGCCTCCCGTCCCGAGACCCCCAGCCACCCAGCGGAAGAATGCTGAGCTTTTTATATGCGCCATGCAGGTTCCGGGGCCGCTGAGGATTCATCAGTAATCTCTCTGGAGTCCAAGGAGATGACTGATGAACCCAGGAAGCTGAATAGCAGATACCGCCTCCTCAGCCACCTCAGAGCCTGCATGGTGCATAAAAATAAGCAAAAACCTGCAACCCGGCATCCCGCGGTAGCAGCTGCACCAGGGAAGGCTAAGCCTATTATACCCACCGCCTATGCCCCCGATTCTGTGCGATGGGTACGTTACCATTCTGAATGATTTCGTCCAGCATCCCATGGAGATTGGGGTGAGCCCACCTGCTCTGCAGAGCAAACAGACACGTCCAGAGACCCAGCCCTGTGGCCTGGTTCATAGCCAAAATGTCATCGGCCAGCTTCTCTGCAGTGCTGGCTGAGTCGTGGTTCCTCTCCCAGTCATGGTAATCCTAAACCACAGAGGGACAGCAGAGGAGGAAGAGTCAGAGTGGAATGTAGCTGCTAGAATGGAATCAGAAGAGTGACATAATGCTGCACGGCCAAGGGCCACTTCTTAAAAGTGACCAACACCGTACCTGGCCCCCGGGTAGAAGGGAAATGAAAGGCTCTGCCAGGGCAGAGTGGGCTGGTGGGGAAGTAAAAGTGGTGGCGTTTTGTTGCTATGGCAGAGATCTGGGTTCATGTCTGACTCCCCGTTGCGTTTAGTCCCCAGATCAATGCAGATTGGGGGCTGTGCAGCATTTTCCTGCCCAGAAGAGGTCAGGGGCAAATATTGTTCTTACGATGCCTTCTCCTTGCCAGCTCGAAGTGTAATTAAGAGTTATCTTTGTTCCCTGCACACCTGGATCTAGAGATGTCTGGCGGGTGGATGCCGAGGGGCCTAGAACGGAGGGACAGGCTGAGAGCCCTCCAGAGTCCAAAATCTCAGTGGGGAACATTGGCACCTGCTCACTCTTGGAGGTATTTGAAAGCTGGAAAGTGCTGCACAACACAGTGTCCCAGCAGCCAGGGAACAGTCCAGAACAAGAGATCTCAAAACAGGCAATGTGAAGTGTGTGCATGAGGGGGTGTGTGTGTGTGTGTGTATGTGTGTGTGTGATTACAATTAACCATGAATTACAATAATGATGAACTAGGGGGCAGATCTCTGTCACTCAGCTTGGGTGCTCACTTCTACACTGTATTTACCGTTCCTTGTGGTTTACAGTTTCTGGGATCTGTTGTTATATCTCCCTGGACCTCATGACCAGCATTAGCCTCTCTCCTGTCACCAACAAGGGACCAGGTCTCCATGGGGAGAGCGCTAAGGTCCTAGAATGCCTGGGGCCTTTAGAATTCAGCTCCAGTAGCATTAGCCTGGCTTCCTGCAGGTCAATGAGCGGCGCCGTACCTGGGCCTGCTGAGCAGTGATGACACATCTGCTGGTGAGTTCCTGCAGCACAGTGAGAATGTCGTTCTCAATGACGTAGACCAAGTCGGGGCGGAAGTGCTCGCTCAGCCTCTTCAGCTCCCCAGATGTATAATTATCCAAGTGTTTTCTGAAGGCTACAATATTATCTGTGGAGAAGACCAACACTTAGACAGTATGGCACTTATAGCTTGGGGTGGGCTCATATCCACTCACTGATAACTAGCACCCTTATCTGAGACATCACAGCTACTTCAGATGCAACCTCTACCAGAAGGTTGCATTTTAAGGAGCACAGGTATAGAAAGGTATAGGAGCACAGGCCATGAGGGAGTTAACAGCAATTGCAGTGCCCGCCTCTCCCTGCAGGAGGCGCTACAGGGAATGGTGCAGGAGCAGGGTTGTTACAATGTCAGCACTGCTCTAGTCCCAGCCTCTCCCAGGAGGCGCATTCAGGAATGGGGCAGGCTCTAGCTGCGGCACTGAGCTTTACTGCAGGAGCAGTGCTGCTTTGCTCATGACGAGAGGAGCCCGTCGATCACACTCACCTTCGCTCACCGCAGCCCGTTGGTTGGAAGCCATTTTATTCACTCTGCTCGTGCGTCGCTGAGAAGTCTAAGGAGAGGGAAACGTACGTCACACAGAGGCAAGGAATGTCACTTCCATCTCCAGCTTAACAGCTCAGCATGAGGGAGGAGGAGCCATATCTACAACTGGGTCATTTTGCACTTAAATCTGGAATTTAGCCTCTGTGTTTTGTATGAAAATATCTATCTACTTCAGCTTTTCAGTCCCTAGTCTCAGAATAAAGCTTGGATTGTCTGAGGACTTTCAAATAAATCTGTTAATTAGTTTCTGAGTTCTATTCGGTTTTTAAAAACAGATAAGGCCCCTGCACATCACTCTGGCACACGTTACAGTTTGCTGCCCGAGGGCTGTAAAGAGGCAGTAGGGCCTCTATAGTTGTCGCGGACTAAGAGTGTCCACATGGGAGTTATACCAGTATAACGACAGTGGTGAAATTATGCAAGTAAATTTCCCCATGTAGACAAACCCTTTGAGCTCCTGATTATCTCTTACCTCTAGCTTAAATGCTACAGACTGCAGAAAGTCAGAAATGGGTAGAGCCAACTTTGATAGTGTGCCCTCCATCCAACACGGGAGTGGATTTTTCTAGCCCACTAACATTTGTGTTGCATTGCAGAGGAAGGACCTAGAGGGAACAGCGGCTACTTCCACAAGAATAAGATCTTCATGAAATGCCCCTGATGAATGTGGAGCTCTTGTGCCATCTTGGCGCTTTCACAGAGATCTGCTTTTTCCTGGAAGTAGCCGTTGCTGTGCTGGAGAGCTTTTCTTAGG